TGGGCATACAGATACGACGCTGAATGCATACATTATTGCAAACATAGTAAATACAATAACATAGATAACATAACAATAGATAAAATCTCTAATTAACTGGTTATTTCTCCTGGAAGTTTGCATAAAATTGTTGCCAATGAACTTCAATTTCATAAAGCTTGTGCTCATGGGTGCCTCATCTACTGATGGAGGAACATAAAGGGAAAAAAAGTGTGGCGAAATTTCTGCAAAGAAGTAATCAAAAGGAAGTAAATGAGTTTGTGACTGGAGATTAGTCCTGAATTCATCACTTGTCACCTGAAACTAAACAAAGCTCCCTTGAGAGGAAACATTCCACTTCCTCGACTCAAAAAAGTGTCGAACTGTTCCATCTGCGAGAAAGGTGATGTTAATGCTGTTTTTCGATAGAGAAGGTTTGGTGGCTACAGAGTTCATGCTGAATCAAGTTCCTCTGAAAATCTTGTGAAGGGTGCCACAATTAGTGCATCTTCTTACTGTGAAACATTAAAATGATTGCGATAATCACTTAAAAATCGATGGCCAGGTAAATTGTCAAAAGGCACTGTGCACCTGCAGAACAAGGCAAGACTGCATGCAACAAAACAAACGTGCAAACTTCTGAAAACGTTTAGGTAGGAAGTGTGCTGGATCACCCTCCTTATAGTCCAGACCTCGCACCATGCAACTTCCATGTTTTTGGTCCCATAAAAGCAGAACTTTCAAAGTAACAATACTACTCGGATCACGAGGTGAAAGCTGCATCCCAAGAATGGTCATCTTTGCAGAAGGCATCGAAAAACTTGTCCCACGCCTCGACAAATGCTTAAATATTGGAGGTAATTACGCTGAAAAGCAGATTTTGAATGGAACCTTATGATAACAATAGAGTTATAGTAAAATTTCTATCCTGTTTTGTTTTTTTAAGCAGTGCAACTAACTTTTTGACTGACCCTCATAAATTTAACTGTAATTACATCGTAATTCTAGTTAAAGTACACACAGTATGATTATAACTGTGGCTGTAATTTTTTGTAGCTGTAATTATAAATAATGCAATTACAATTATGTTGTAATTGAATGATCTGCAATTATAATCATACTGTAATTGTACAATTTATGTTACATTGTAGTTGAATTAATTGTATCTCCAATTACATTCAAAATTAATTAATTGCAATTATATTGTAAATCAATTAACTGCAATTACAATTACATTGTAATTGTACATTTTGTAATACAAATACACTTTTACTGTCTGATTTATAATTACATTGCAAATGAAGGATTTCAAATTGTAATTACAAGTAATTCAGTCACAACATACTTAATTATACTGTTATTGAGTTACTTATATTTGCAATTACATAGTAATTTAATTATTAATCAATTATAATGTAATTGAATTATGTTTAATTCTAACTTATAGTTTATTAAAAAAAAAAAAAAAAAGAGGTTAAGTTCCTTTAGAGTTCTGCAGGAACGACTGGTGCAACTTTAGTGAGTTCACCAACATTTAAGGTTTGGTGTCTAACTTTCACGGTCCATGAGATAATACCCAACTACCCTTTTTTTAATGGGTAATCAAAACCAAATGATTTCAGATGCCAACAATCACATTTCTGGGTGAAAATAATGAAATATTATGCCAAATTAAAAAAAAAACACTTGTGAGAAGCTCTATGTATAAGAGAAAAACAGGAGAAATATATTGCAAATCGGATTTGCAGGAGTGCAACTGAAAATCAGAAGCAAAACATAATTTCAAACACCAGAATGCAATACATAAGAGTCGCGGCTATCATAATCAAATTTAGCTATTTGCAACTGAAAATCAGAAGCAAAACATAATTTCAGACACCAGAATACAATACATAAGAATCGCGACTATCATCATCAAATTTAGCTATTGTTCACTATACATACTTGGCTATGTATCATGAGCTTGGCGACTAACGAAAAGGTGTTCGTTAAATTTTATCTTGCTTTTATTGTGCACTGAGACAATTAAGCTTGAATTGTATTAGTTTAATTATTTATTATACTTATGTCTATTTCTTGCACATGCTAAAGGCTTATCAGAGTTCTGAATAAATAAATTCTCACATACAATGTCTCACAAAAAAGATGGGACACTTGTGCTTTACAAAAGGAAACTGTAGTAAAATAAATTAAAATAACATGTAAAAAATGTTTGTGGGTGTGTTTCATACTTAAGTTTAGTAACAATTATTACACAACATACATTTTCTCAAAATATTAAAATATTAATTGAATAAAAATACAATTGTTTAGAACGGAGCAAAAAATTGCTCACGTAAGTGATGGGACATTTACTTTAAATTAAATACTTATCAAAAAATTTTACTTTTTAAAAGGTTTTAATATTTTGTTGGATTTCCTTTTACTTTTAAAACATGATTTAATCTTCTTGGGATGGATTCGACTAATTTTTTTGTGATTTCTGGAGTGATTTTACCCCATTTTTCTTGAAGCACAGATTGTAATTGTTGTTTTGAAGAAATAGTGTGTTTGCGAATTCTTGACTCCAATTCTTGCCAATTATTTTCTATGGGATTTAAGTCTGAAAATTGTGGTGATGTTTTTATTATTTCAGGACAGTTTTACAGCAGCCAGAGTCTAACGTTCAAAGCAGTGTGCTTGGCGTCATTGTCCTGGCAGAATTTAAAATCGTTATGAAGGTTCAATTTTCATGCTGAAGATTTCAAATTTTGATTTAAAATGTCAATATATTTGTACTGATCCATTATACTGTCAATAAAAACAAGATTACCAACTCCGGGGGACGACATACACCCCCATACCATAACTCCTCCTCCACCATGTGTTACTGTTGGCACCAAGTTCTGTTTGCGAAATTCTTCCCTGGGTTTTCTCCACACCAAGATTCTACCGTCAGAACCAAATATATTAAATTTACTCTCATCAGGAAATATAACGTCATTCTAGTAATCAGAATTCTTATTTATGCTGGATTTCTCGAAAGCCAGTCTGAGTTTTCTATTCTTTTCACTTACGAAGAATTTTTTCCTGGCTGCTCTACCGTGATATCCAGCAGATATCGAATTACTCTTCTAATAGTCTCAGGATTAACAATTACTCCATATAATGCTTGTAAATCAGCAGCAACTTTAGGAGCACTCATTCTTGGATTTTTTTTTTTAATATTTCGAACGATAATTCGCTTTATTCCATTGGATAGCTTTGATGGTCGGCCAGGTCTTCTTTTATCCTGAATCATATGATTCTTTTTATATCGTTTAATGATATTGAAAACTGTTGAATGACTCAAGTTAACTGTTTCAGCAGTTTCTCTAATAGATTTTCCACGTTCAATATGCAAATTAATAACTAATTTTCGAATTTCAGGCAAAGTTTCTTTTCGTTTAGCATTCATGGCTGCACAGAGCTAAAAACAACAAAAATTTCCAAAACAAACTGGAGAGAAATACTGCAGACGATTTTATAAATTATTTCCAATTGCTTTTGAGTAAAAATAAAAACCCCAAAAATATTTTTATTGTAGTACGTAGTAGTATCTAATGGTGTCCCATCACTTATGTGAGCCATTTTTTGCTTCGTTCTAAACAATTGTATTTTTATTAAATTAATATTTTAATATTTTGAGAAAAATGTGTGTTATGTAATAATTGTTACTAAATTTAAGTATGAAACACACCCACAAAAAATGTTTTTTTAATTTATTTTATGACAGTTTCCTTTTGTAAAGCACAAGTGTCCCATCACTTTTGTGAGACACTGTATACTTAAGCCTTATTGAGGGCCGCGCTACATACTGCTTGATGCAGTCTCTGTAGGTCCTAAATTCTGCAACCTTGTGCCGAATTAAGAGTCCTGGCGCTGGTTCTGGGTTTATGTGAATAACAAATCAGTTATTCTTAATTCAAATAGCCCTAACTGTAATCTTTGGGTCTATGAATATCATCAACAAAACCTATTTTTAGCATATGGAAAGAAATTTTTGTTAAATTTTTCCTTGTCAACATATTTTAGCGCATTTAACTTAAATCTGCGAGTCATTAGTTGAGTTGTCCTGTCTTGATAAACATGCGGCGATGAAAGGAAAGCATAATAAATAATGAGTTGGCATCAGATCTACGATGCATGCAGCAACGGAGCCAAATTACTGATCGTACAAATTTACGCTAAAATGATTGTTTCTTCAATAACAAGGTATTTTATTTAGTATCGAAGTGAAATTAAGAATCCGGACTCTCCAGATGTTTTATTATGCGCTGAAGGGGAAATCAAATGCGCATGCTTAAAGCCTACGAGGAAAACATTGGTGGTGGTTTTGAGGTCCGGATTTTAGATTACTCTGGGGATAATGGACATCCGGATTTCGGACTCTGTACTGTATACTGGTGGATAGTTATTTCAGAGCAGCCTATGAGGAAAACGTTGTTGGTGGTTTTGAGGTCCAGATTTTAGATTACTCTGGGGATAATGGACATCCAGATTTCGGACTCTGTACTGTATACAGTGATGGATAGTTATTTCAGAGCTGTTCTAATTTTAAAAAAAAACAGTTTTAAAAGACAAAATTAAGTAATCAGCATTTAAATCTGTTGCATTCCAATTTTATGAAGAATTTTAAAAAAATCGAATACATTAAACATATTTTGCTTTTTATGAACATTTAAAAAATTAGATTATTAAGCAATAATTATTATACAATAATATTTCTAATTATAATATGTTTAGATATCATATTTAATTATAATTTACTTTCATCTTAAAAATAAAACAACCATTAAATGAAAATAAATCTGATTAAGAAAAAAATCGAAAGAATATTTCAAATTTTCATAAGATTTCGAATTAAGCATGCAAAAAAGCAAGGGTTAGAGAAAGGAGCATGACACAAAGCAGAAATGCAAACACAAATAATGAAGAAAATAAAGTTTATACACCGACAACAGAAAACAGAGTATATAAATAAGCCAGAAAAGTGGCATTACACATAGACTGACCAGTAGCAGTAGACTGAGACATCTGAGCAAGACTTGCAGTTTGAAGAGCAGAATTGTAGTCTTCAGATGTTCTATGAAGACTGTTTGAACCAGGAGGAATATCTACCAGACATGACACACATATAATAAATATTATACAGATTATTAAAATAAATAATAGCAGTAATTGTGTGGTAAATGATGCTTCGTGTTTTAAGGAGAATACTCCTACATTACTAGAAAATACATTAACATTATTATTTCTTTCCTCTGACATAACAATCAATATAACAAATTTACAATATTTTGAGAATATGTTCTCATACTTAAAAGATTATTTTTATGATACTAAAGAGGAGGAAAGCTGCTAGTAATGAGACAAAGAAAAGAAAATAATATAATCCAAAAGTTTATATGAAATGATAAGATATTACATAAAATTACACGAAGAAATAATCCCATTTTATATGGAAAATGTCAATATCTAAATAAAGTACAGATCTTAGACATGTATAAAATAATTTACAAAGCATGAATGTGTAAGTTTTGGTGTTGCACATTATTTCCAAGCCATTTAGATAGGAACATAAATTAAATATTCATCACATAATGAATAATTTACTTAATCATTATTTATAATCTTTGGTATTTTCTGATTATCCAAGCACACCTGAAAATTGTTCATAAGCCAACAGACTATGCTGTCAAAAGAAGCAGCCCATGACACTGCCCAAACATATTTGCATTGCAACCCAAATATGCAGGCATACAGCAGATGAGCATTAGAAATAATCTTGCACTTCAGATGTATGAATATCATGCAGCTATGTATCACCATTCACTGTTGTTTAACATTTAGTCCACATTTTTTACTGGTTTTATTACACTACTTTAATTTTCTCAGATGCTTAATATACTAATTTATCATGCCCTTCGATAATCCTGTGAACCGTTTGTTTGCATTATAATGGAGCAACAGCTCTCTTTGCATAATTTTCATTCAATATGTTCTGAAAGTTTTCCCAAATTGCTATAGTAGACAAGAACCAGACTGTCTACACTTACTCAGTCTCTAAAAAGACAAAATCTTACTCTTCTAGTAAATGCATTCAGAGATTTCATCAAAATGTCTACAGGCCAGACCCATTGTTTAATAAACTATGAATGCCATATATGACACTTTCCAGAAAGTGGCATCACAGATTTTGGATAACATAAATGAACTTGGCTGTTGATCAACAACACAGAGACAATGAATGAACATATATGGACATTTTGGATTCCTTATGGGAATATTCAATCTTTTTGATAACTGTGCTGATGCATATGCATACTGAATGCTACATGTCAGCAGCAATCCATCTTCTATTTTGCAAAGATAAATTTCAGTCTTAATGGGCCATAAACAATGTTATGTTAATAAAATATCTGTTGATATATAATAAAAATATGTAATTTTAAGATTCTTCTTATAATATTAATTGCATATAACCTTTCTAAACAAGTTTTATAGAGAAAATGTCATTCAGACCAAATACAAAATTACATAAAAAAATTTTAAATACCATCTTGAATACATTTTTCATGAAAATATTTGTCTTTAATTTTAAGGCTTAAAATGTAATCCAAGTTACTGAGATCTATACTTGTGATATACTAAGAATAAGTTTACCTCAATGAGATTATTGATATTCATATAAAATACCAATATACCAACATATTATGTCTTTAGGTAAAGGTGCCATCATCTGGTTAGGCTAAATATTTCTGGCAAATCAAGCAACATTTTACCATCATGGTGTACTTAGGGACCCAGAAACAAATTTTTAATTTTGGCTAAAATCACAACAGTTCCTACATGCATTATCTTTCGATCCTTTTTGCATACAATTAGCACTGTCAATCTGGAATTTTTGGGTAGGACAACCATTGCTTATTATACAGTGAGAAAACAGAAAATTCCAGTCTTTCTCTCAATCTTGTGATTCCCTTTTCATCAATATATGGGAAAAAACTCTTCAAAGCAAATATTTTTTCAACTGAATTACCTTCTTTTGGAGATTTCTACTCTTCGGCAAAAAACTTCCTTTGCTTGTCTTATTATTTAAATCTTATCTGAAAATTTTCTGCTTCTTGTAACTCTTATTAGAGTTCCTTAAATATCGCTAGATTTTCTTAATTTTGCAATGAAACGTGTTGTAATGTTAACATGTCGGAGTACGTTTCTGGTTTCATTTTAGTGCTAAAACCAGTTTCTGGTTTTACATTTACTGATTTGAATATTAATTGTATAAAAAAGTTTTCAGAATTTGTCCCTTCATTTTAGCTTTGAACACAATTTAAATTTAAGAGCTTAGAGACATGTATGTTTACGATCGTTTTGAACTGAATCTGTTTTCAAGAATACCTATGGGGAAATCATAATTCAACTCTAAAACTGATAGACATTCAATAGCTGATGTTACATTTCCACCTAAATATGATTTCAAATACATGAATTTTCTAATTTTTAAAAACATAACATTATCATGAATTGTAACTTTTAATTAATTCCAAAAATTCATCCAATTGTTAGTCTTCATCAATTTTATGAATTAGCATTCATCTGTCTGAACAGCAGATTTTTGACACTTTGAATATTAAACATCTTTAAATAACAACTGATTTTTGACTTTGTTATTATTATTTTATCATTATATTCCACAAAAATTTTTATATCTGACTCTAATTCTCAGTCATTTTCAATGAAATACTGTTTATTTTCATCTTTCTGTTTCCTTGCAATTTAACAATTCCAAACAATTTTCTAACTCTTCTTGTATTTCTTTTTCTAAATATTCATCTACATTTTTAATAACTTGTGTTACAGAAAGATCTAGATATGCTCATTTATTTATAATTTTTTGTTCCATTTTAAGTATTTGCTTAAAGTGCTACTCTAAAAGCAGAAAACACTACTTTCAAATACCAGACTCTAAGTTTTACTTTTGAGGCTAATGCACAATATTATGAAATAGATCAAAACAAAACTACTAAAATCAAAGAATGATGTACATGGGATGGAGGATTCTTCATCTTTTAATTAAAACTTAAATAACTACATACACATGTGGAAAAATGGCCACGCAACTGTAACTGAATGATGTAATTATAATGTGCATCTAGATGACTATGCAGATGAGTAAGTATGACGATGAGAACAGCAGATACGTAATATTGTGACAATTATTCGCCCCCCCCTTTTTTTTTTCTTAATCACTTTTAATTTTATGTAAGTAAAATAATCAATAAAGTAAAATAATAGCTTAGTAATAACTCGATGTGTATTAGTGATGTTTTTCCTGTAATTTTGGTATAAGAATTATAAAAGTTCCTGCCCCATGTAATTCATATTTGAATTTCTTGTGCTTAGAATAGCATTCCTATTAATGATTATGGATTAACAATATTGTAAAACTTTCAAGAGGATCACAAGTAAGCATTTTATACCTTTATACCTTTTACTTTGAATGCAATGCTCAAGGCATAAAAAACATAGCTTGCGAAGAAAATTTTCAAAAATTAAAAAATTAAAATCGAATTGTTGAATGAACCAGCAATACTACACTAATTTCAAGAACTGACGCTGTGGTAAAAAATGAAAATATTACATATGATATCTTATAGGAACATCCAGAAGTTTCAATTAAAAAAATGAATAAATTAAAATACTTAGATAATCAAACTGAACATTTGATTGATGTAAACTTAACTGAGAAGGAACAAACTATATCTACATCTATTGAAACTCAAATAAAATTTCATTAACTCATCAACACCTGAAAAATGCTCAGAACTTGACAGCTTAAATATACTCTCATCAATTAAACTTCTTAAGTAAATAATCAAACCGTATTCCGGAGACCCAAATATTGGAACGATTTTTTGAATTCATTTGAAAGCACTACCAAATGAAATGATTCACTTTCAAAGATTGAATAATTTCCCTACATAAAAACATACTTGATTGGAGAAGCATTAAATGTAGCATCTGGTTTTGTGTTAACTGGCAAAAATTATGACAACTGTGTAACATTACATACAGGTTGTTTTGGTTGCAAAGATACTTTTATGAGTAAAATTTTAAACTTGTAAAGGGTTAAAAATTCTTCTAATGTTCCAGCTTTGAGAGGTATTTGATGAGCTTGACACTGCTATACAAAATTTATATTCAGTCCAAGAAGATTCAAAATACTATGGTCCAATTTTGAATTTAATTGTCCTAAATTTATTGCTAGGAAATCTTGTTTCAAGATTTTAAATGAAACACAAATTCAAAATGTGATGTTACTGGTCCGAACCTTCTTTTTCAAAATGTGAGACTGAACATCGAGAAACAGCATTTTTAGCTCTACGTGGCAGAAAAGTTTCTCAACAAATTCAAATAATCATTAAACATACAAATGTCATTATTGTAATGGATATGGTCATTTATCTAAATTTTATCTGATATTCATTGCAGGGTCATAAATTTTTCATCTGTGTTTAAAAAAAACTCAGAAGCAAAACACACTGCAACAGCTGAAAGAAAGAATACTGTCATAGCAATGAAATTTAACACACCAAACTCATTCATAAAGTAATCCAAATTAATGATATGCCACTCATAGCTCTGCTGATACCAGAAATGAAACTACAGTTATAAGTAGCAATGATTAAAACAAATAGGAAATCATTTTTTAAATGTTTTCTTAGTATGTTGACTGGTTTTAGTAATGGCAAAATTAAACCAATAGTTTATTTTACAAACAATATTTTAATAGATACGGAAGTATTTCTGACTAATATTTATGTTGCTGACAGTAATATAGTACAATTCAATGCTATAACGGACATGGAAATCCTTAGACAAGGTGAAGTTAACATAAACAAAAATGACATTCATATTTCTAAACATGTTGTGCAACAAACTGATCTGGAAGATGAGTACATCAATAACATTTCCTTTAATCACACATTCAAATTAGAAATAGGTGCTACAGAAGAACAAGTTGTGATTATTGAAAATCTTGTCTCTGATTACATACCTCTTAAATCCAAAATTACGAGTACTGAGCTGACTATTCAAGACAAAGATAAAAAAC